TAAAATACTAAAATACCCTCTAACAAACTTATGGGCTTAAGAAAATAATATAATAAAATATGAATTATTACTAATAATAGCAACTCATCCAAACAAGAAGAGGAAAACCAAGACTAAATCACTTGCTCTTTCCAAGCTCTCATGCTTCAGGGACTGTGTATTGGTATATTTGTGAAGGGCCCACGAGGGACAGTGTGAGAGGCAGTTGATGTAACATCTCGCCCACATCACCTTCTTGATCACCCGTTTCCTAGATCGATTGCCCATTTGCTGGATGTGATGTCACTTCCTCAAATATGTTGCCTACTTTCTAGACAACTCGTCTGAAGCGTAATGATGTGGAAATTGACATATCTTTAATCCTTATGCAGAAGGAGTCAGGGGGAAGTTAACAACGCTCTCATGAATAACATAGGATTACTTGTCCCCTCTCACGTTCTCTCTCGAGTGATTGTTACTTTGTAGGGACTTGAGATCTAGACTCAAAAACTCCAATAAATATCTCAATCATAAAATTGAAAAACATTCCATTTCTTTTTTACACTGGTACCACATATAAAGTTTTTCATTTTTTTACGTGAGTTAACTCTAAATCCTACAACAAACTCTAATACTTACCCTTGGGTGACTCTCCACTTTATCTTTTTCTCCCTTCACCTATTAAAACAACCAACCTCTCTTAATTAATCCCTCAATAGCATCCTTCAGCTAGATGCAATCATCAATGTTGTGGTCATATCCCTTGTTGAAGCGGAAAAACTCGGTCTTATTTGTTCTAGACGACTCTGGGATAGGAAAGAGGGCCCTCTTTCCTGGGAAATAAAAGAAGTAATGAATCTTTCACAAAAGTCCGTGCCAAATTCAATACAATCCATTGAACCATAGTCTGGTTGGAGTTAGCGCGAGCTGTTTGCACTTAAAGACTTCTTCAGCATTGAAGTAATTCAACCGAACATCGGCGAGGTGCACCGTGCACGTGCTCATCCATATCTCTTTTTCTTTTATATTATCTCTACTTAGGAGGATTCTTCATGGAGTTTAGTATTCTTCTATCCAAAATGCAATTGAACAGAGGATGCTTTTGTTGTTTCTTCAGTGGATGATTTTCTACCTGATTCGAGAGAGGAATGTGATTGTCTCGATCTCCCTTTGGACTTTGGCTCTTCTTTCTCCATATTATATTCTTCAAATTTAGAGTTTCAACTCTTCTATACGTGTTCCATTCAAAAGAGGGAGCCTGACTCCTCCTGGACATAGCCTCTTAAGTTGTGTCTCCTTGCATTGCGCAGGCTTTCCTCGAGATGAAGTAACTTTCTTCTAGCCAGAAAATTTTGTTGCCGAACAATATTGTACATGTTGTTTAGAAATTCTTTGGTGCCTTAAAACTTAATTTTAGCTCACAACATTTGGAAACTAGGTAAGGCCTTAAGTTGTGAAACAATTGGCTAAATCGAAGGTCCAATCGGAGGATATTGTTAAGATCCATCTATTTGAGGAACCTAGAGAAGATCTAGATGAAATGGAACTTATAATACACGATTCACAATGCCTTGTAGAGAAGGTGGAAGTGTTTCATTTATCGTTGATTGAGTTGCGACTGCGGCATCGACTTCTCAGTATATGACGGAGCGAGTATCCTTACATCCAAACATTATCGAGAAACGTAGAAATCAGAGATCTAGAAATTCAGAAAATCAAATTCTATATGCTACTTGATTATATCAAACATGATTATTCTCCATGTTCTATTGCGAGAACTCTTGATCCAATGAACTGAAAAGGTTTCAAACTATCAAATTGAGGAACGAATGTTAGATTTTGGAAAACACAGGAATCAGAAGTCGATTCCTACAGGTAGCGCCACTATTTCGTTGCGAAACTGGGAATGGGTAAGGATTAATGATAATGAAGGGACAGAGCTTCTGGTAAGATGGAGATAGGCCTGACCTATAAGGTTAACACTCCAGGCTCAAGTCAATATGTGAGGGATATGAGTGAAGTGAAATTGAATTTAAAATTGTGTCCCTGAATTTTATATATATATATATATATATATATATATATATATATATATATATATATATATATATATATATATATATATATATATATATATATATATATATATATATATATATATATATATATATATATATATATATATATATATATATATATATATATATATATATATATATATATATATATATATATATATATATATATATATATATATATATATATATATATATATATATATATATAATTGCGGAGATCTGTTGGATGTATCTAAAGTTTAGATCCTTTGTTCTTATTTGTAGAGTAACTCTCGTGAGATGAGAAGGTTCTGGATGGATTGTAGCTCCTTTAGAGTGGTCGGTCGGGGATTAATATGGTCGGCCTGGAACAATTCTAGAAAGGATAATATTATGAATTCACCGAGAGTTCTTTTTCCTCTTGAAAGAATATTTCTTTCTTTGAAAGTATTTGTTTGAGTCTGAAGTTAAACTCGTTAATATCTTTGGCTGGAGTATTTAGTATTAAGTCTTCGTTTAGTTCGTGAGTTGAGCCACTTAAGAAAAAACTCATTTTTTGGATATTTGATGATAACTAGTGAAAAATATTCTTATCGATTCTTGAGTTAAGCCCGTTGTAACTTCTCAAATTAGTTTAAGATCAACCTAGTGCAAAATCTAGGTTTGGTTCATGGTTATCCCATGTAAAACCCCGGTTCAGTTTAGAAGATAGCTAGTTTAAAACTCCACATTGGTTCGAGATAAGTCGTTATAAAATATCATTTTAGCTTAGGGACTAACAGCTTGAAGCTTCATCTGCGTTTAGAAGGAAGACAATCTGTTTCATTCCACTGTTCTCAGTTTGGTTGTAAGTTAACCTAAAACTTCATTTGTCTTTGTATAAGCGGGTTCATGAGCTTAACCTTCAAAAACCTCATAATTATTATTGGTTACTCTCAATATCAATTATTGGGGAGAGTAGTAGGTCATTTCATTTAGACTGAATCTTTATAAATTTCCAGTGTCACTCTTTTCTCTTATTTGTTTACTTTCTGCATATTTTCTTTACTCTAACTTTTCACTGCAATATTCAAATGTTTTCTTAAAAATGTTTTAAACTCTTATTTAGAAAACAATTTTGATTTAAACTAACGATTTTCAAATTTCCACAATTCACCCCCTCCCCTCTTATGTATGGAGTCACATGTTCATCACTTAAGTGTGCAACCATTTGTTAGATGACCTAAAAATCTAACAATTATCGTTAAGAGTAGAATGAGCAAAAGGAGAATAAAATAATACTTGCAATTATGGTCCATAACTTGTGAAATGAATGCACTCCACTATGGTCCATAACTTGTGAAATGAATGCACTCCACGCTTATAAAAACTCTTAATTAAATGGGTGAAAGTTTAGAAAGAATGCATAAAAGATTAAAGAAGGAAAGTTGAAATCTTTTATAGGGAGGGAAAGTCTATTTGTATGAGCAACATACCACTGCCCACTAAGCACCTCAATTGTTACAAGAAATAGAAAATATTCTCTATGTTAGAGACACTCGTAAGGAGTAAAGTCGAATTTGGCTTCCCGTGAAAAATCATCATTAATGGCATTCAGTGCAACACACATTTCCCTTGGATAACCGGTGTTTGATTTTCTTCAGCTTACTAATGTGTGATTCACCTCATTGACACATAGAGATGTATCCCAAACTCGCCTCATACAGGAGGGTCTCTCTTAATACAAGACAGGCTCACCTAATAAATCAGAGACTCGACTAATACAAGAAGAATCGGCTCATACAAGAGGGACTCATCCCATATAGAAGTGACTTACCATAGACATGTCATAGCAACTCATCCAGACAAGAAGAGGAAAACCAAGACTAAATCACTTGCTCTTTCCAAACTCTCATGCTTCAGAGACTGTGTATTGGTATATTTGTGAAGGGCCCACGAGGGACAGTGTGAGAGGCAGTTGATGTAACATCTTGCCCACATCACCTTCTTGATCACCCGTTTCCTAGATCGATTGCCCATTTGCTGGATGTGATGTCACTTCCTCAAATATGTTGCCTACTTTCTAGACAACTCGTCTGAAGTGTAATGATGTGGAAATTGACATATCTTTAATCCTTATGCGGAAGGAGTCAGGGGGAAGTTAACAACGCTCTCATGAATAACATAGGATTACTTGTTCACTCTCACGTTCTCTCTCGAGTGATTGTTACTTTGTAGGGACTTGAGATCTAGACTCAAAAACTCCAATAAATATCTCAATCATAAAATTGAAAAACATTCCATTTCTTTTTTACACTGGTACCACATATAGAGTTTTTCGTTTCTTACGTGAGTTAACTCTAAATCCTACAACAAACTCTAAAAATCCTTAATCATTAATAAATATAATGTAAACAAAATTTGTTCTATCATCATCGGTAAGCAAATACACTCACCAAAAAGCTCTCCAGACAAAATTCCTAATCTTCCTCACTATTCCCTCCTGTTGGTGTGTCGCGGCTATTGTGCTTTGATTTTATATTAAAAAACATATATGACTCGAGTTACCTTAAAAGTTGAACAACCACATATAATTCAAATCATCACCTTCAAAAAAACTGAACAACCACATATTTGAAAACATAAAAAAATTAGTCCAAAATATTCTATCAACATTCGACAAGTTATAATTCTAAAAGACACTTACAGTGTTAGAATTTAATAAACTCTACATATTACTCATGGAATGTGAGAACCTTGTGGACCAAACAAACATAAGTGGCATGTGACATGTGACATGTGACATGTGAATAGTAATGGATCTGTTCACAAAGTAAAATAGTGGTCTTAATGCGTGACATATCAAACCCCACCATAACTTGATAACAATTCATCACAGCACTCCACACAACACTAACATCATTCACAAAAGTTAGCTAGAAAAATTTAAATATATCACATTGACAGTAACACTTTTTCTTTTTCTTATGTCATGTTTAGGTTCATCACTTGAAAAAACCAAGGTGACTGTTTTAATCTCTCTTGTTGTCTTAATTGTTCTTCAATACCAAAGCTGTTTCTAATGATTCCACTTGATTCTTCTCTTTTTGTATGTGTCATGTATCTTCTTATCTTGTTTATGTCACTTGATCCAGATGAAGATGAAGATAAGCTACGTCCTGAATCTGAAGTTATTGGTGTCTCACCTTTCTTGCTACGGGTATATCGCGATGGACCTAATGTCAGCTCGATCTCCGTCTCGTCGATGATTTCTATCCCCTCGTCATCGTCTGATTCTGCAATGTGCTCCTCTGCCGGCCTTTCGAGATCAAATTTGATTTGAGTCCTTTTTTCTTGTGTATCTTTATGATGATTAGCATTTTGAGTTAAGTTAATTGCGTTTCTGAAGTACCATTCTTGTTCTTTCACTTCGACGCTTCGTTTAGCCTCCATATTTTGCATCATTATCTTTTGTATTCGATACAATCGATGAAGTTCATACACCTAAAAGAAAATTCTCATTACACTCATATGACACGAGTTTGAAAAAAATATTTGCATACATAATCTAGCTTGCAACAACAAAACAAGTTTTGATGTCTATGTGAGTCTCTGACTATGATTGAAGTTGCATCAAATTACGCGACTTCAGTATTAGTCATCATTCAAATATAAAGACAAGATCTTATGTTTGCGTAAGTCTCTGACTATGATTGAAGCTGCATCAGTGACGATTGATGTAACTTCAACATTAATCACAAAGTGACAACCGATGCAACTTCAATATTAATCACAAGTCACCTAGAAAGAATAATCAGAAGGAATAGAAAGAAAAGTGCACCTGTTGTTTGAAAGTTTCTTCATGCTTTAACATAGCCATTCTCATATACTCTTTGTCACAAGACCTAACAAGCTTCTCCATCAAGGATCTATTTACCTTCTTTTTTGTCTCAAGTTTACCTTCATACACATTCAACTTTAAATGAGGAAAATTCTAAGAGAATAGAGGTGATTAACAAAAAGTTGTTTATATAGAAAATAGAATGATTCTATGAAAGCAAGCACATGAATATTAATGGTCCAACTGATTCTTAAAACATTGGCACAAAATGATGGCATCTACTTCCTTTTAGTATAGTTTGTCTCCTTACAATACTTTGGACCACATTCGAATTAAACACATCACAAAAATATAAAATATCTCCCGACAACTTTACCTGTTCATTTTTTCCTACCATAATAATAATATTAATAATAACTTCTCTTATGCTCACACAAATGTGATGTCATTTTTAAACTATATATCTTTTCAATTATTGAAATATTTGAATACATGATCACAAGGTAACATTTCTCTCTTCTTTTCATATAATTAAAAATAAATGCCAGAAGAATCACATAGGTGTCTTTGAAAGTGTGTAATATGAGTTATATCACGAGACTTTAAATTTTTCACAGTTAAATTATGATTAAATAAGATTTCATAATAAATTTGTCATGAATAAATTATGGCAAAATATGAACCCTATTTATTAGGTCAAAGTTGAACCGTAAATAATTGACTCAGAAATCTGTAAAAATTTAAGACGTATTATAGTTTTACACAGAAAAAATGTTTTACGCAATGCTTTTGTTTAATTTTCAAGATTCTAGGCATTGACATTGCATGATCCCAAACCATATTCCTCATGCATGAGATAACAAACTTTCACCATTCTAAAATGTATAATTTGTTTGTTCACACTACAATCTAATAAGCATTAATAACATATCATCTTCTATCTACGAAGCACTGAGTAGTATAGACAGAAACACAGACACGAACACCAGACTCGTATATATTTGATAATAAAAAATAAAGAAATGAAATATATAGGTTCTAACCTGGCAAAGTTTGAAGTACTATATAACAATTTTCTGTTGAAGAAGAAGACAATAGAACAAAAAGAAGATCTATGAAGAAAAGGCAAGAAACATGAGAGACAACCTTTGTTAAATTTGATGAAAACTCATTTATATGCTCTCAAATTCCCTATCAAGCTCTGGCCATTATATACTATTGGAGACTAAACAGAAGAGAACTGTTTATAGAATTTTAAGATTCTTTTTCCCTTTAAAGACACAGAAAACGAAGTGGTATATTGCATGAAAGCATGCCAAACAAATCTCAGTGACTTGACCAATGTGATTCAAGTTTTGTGGAAGAGATGCCTAAGACAGGTCCAGCAATATAGATATATTAAATTAGTAGTAACAGTAAAGATAGGGTAATATATAAATAAATAAATACACGCATTATTAGCACTATATACTATACTATTAAAACTTATATTTTTTTTCTGAGGATCACAAGGTATTGTAAGTTGTAACAGCATATAGCTTGTTGAGGTGAATCACATGCACCTCAAATTTGTATTAATAATAAATGAAAAATATTGTTTTTATATATTGAATTATTGAAGGTTATGTCTATGTGAAGAAGCTTAAATCGCCGACAGAAGATCCTGACCGTACAATAAATGGTTTTTTTGTTAACATTGTTGAATCTAGTATAACTGGCTTTAGGATTTTAATTCAAATCTAAGGTTGATATATAATGAAAATAAAAAAATGGGGGCAAAAAATGATGGGCTTATCTCATCATAATGAGTTGTTTTGTTTGATTCTCTTGACATTTATGGAGTGAATAGTGTAAGGATAGTTCGTACTGGTACTGTGGGGAAATGGGTACAATATGCTGTTTGATGGGGTTTTCAGCATTAATCTAGGAAGATATAACTCAATGATTGTATGTGTTAACTGGCCACATGGGTGCTAGCTCTCCCATTTGTACATCATCATCCATTTTATTTACAAGCAATCACAATAGTTGGATATGTCTAAATTGATGTCTAAATCATAGATGCGTTACATTTTATTTTATTTTTTTAAAAACTATTACTTATTTTCTCAATTGAGTTGATAATAGAGAGTTAAAGTATTTAAAGAAAATACATTTGAATTTTAGCAATTATATTTTATTATTATTTAATTTTTTAAAATTTTTTATGACTTATTAATTCAGTTGAGTTAGAAACCGATAGATAAAGTAGTCTATTTTATTTTTTTTTGTTTTATTTTTTAAGATTCTTAGAATTCATTATTTAAGATGTGTAAGAACTTTAGGAATATCTAAGAGAATTGAAAGAATACTTATAAACACATTTGATTTATATGATTCATATATTGAGAGTTGTAGGGATTAGGAAATCCTTAGGTAGAAAATATTGTTTGTTCTTGGGAACTTGAGAATCTTTTTTCTTGCAACTCAATTTGTAATATTTTGTAACAACTTTTAATGTATAGGTAATCAAATTCTTTGTGTACTAGTCTTTTATTTTATTCTTGCTCGTGTGGATTCGTGTACCCTATTTGACATAATGATTAATATTTTATACCATTTAATTTGGTTTTCATTATTTTTTCCGACACATCAAAAGGTCTTGGCATGGTCAAATATTGTATTTCATAACAAGTGACACCCGCCGTGGGGTTAATGAGTTTATTTTACATGCAACAACGATTTTAGCTTCTGGAAAGTGATGATATAAGAAATATTAACTCATCAAAGGTGTCTAGAAACATTAAAGGGTGAGACATTGATGCATGCATGTCTAACACATGAAGGTAAAACTGATACACTGAATAATAAAGATTTTTGTCAAAGAAGGGACAGTGACTATTTTGTTTTAGATTGCAGTTTCCTCAAATGAGGATGGTTATGAGCTTGCCAATGTACTAGTGGTGTCGAGTTTGGAGACAAATAAGATTTAGATCATGGACTCAGGATGCTTTTAGAAAATGTGCTAAGGAAATACTACTTTGAAATTTTAGAGTTATAAGAAGGTGGAGTCATTAGAATCAGTGATAATAAAGATTGCAAAGTTCATGATATTGATTCAATTAGACTTAAAATATTTGATAATTGTTAGTTCCTTCAACACAAAATGAGGTATATTTTTTTAGCTTAAGTTGAATTTTTTTTGTCTATACACGTGTTTGATGATCTAGGATTGTGCTCTAGAGTTGAATATGTGTTGTTTAAATTTTCTCATGGTGCATGGATTATGGGTAAAGGGTTTTAAATGTTTGGAGTTATATACTTTATATGGCTCCGTTATTATTGGTCATGCAATATCATCTAGTAAATACTTTCATGACAAAGACAGGTTACGATATTTGACATCAAGGCATGTTATTAAAATAAGAACTAACAACGAGTTGGATGTTGTTTCAAGGTAGTTTAATATGTTTTTTTTTACAGAAAACAAGATATAAAGAGACACATTACCATTATTTGCGCACCTCATCAAAATGGTCTAGCTGAATGCAAAAAAATAACCATTTTGGAAAGGTTAAGGTGCATGTTTCTTGGGGCCGAGTTGATAAACGATTTATGAGGTAAGCCTATTTCTATATAAGCTAACTTGGTCTACATATGTTCATTCATCTGAATAGAATTCAAGACGTCTATTGAGGTTTTGAGTGAGAAACTAGTATACTAATCTAATTTGAAGGTTGTCAGAGCTAGATTTGTGAAGTGTGTCTTTATTGATTATTCATAAGGCACGAAGGGTTACGAGATGTGGAAGGTGGAGTCTAGAGGATCAAAATTCATCATAAGCATGTATGTTACTTTTAGCAGGACCCATAAAGGACGAAGAGTAAAATTTTGAGATGAAAGAATTAGAAATTATGATGCATAAACTAAGTTTAAAGTGGAGGTTCATTCCATGACGAATAGAGATAAAGAAGATGTTAAGGCACCTGATTATAGTTCTAGTGAGGGAAAACCTACAATTCCTCATGATTATTATTTGACTCGTGATAGGGTAAACAAAATGTTGTTGAAGGATTTTAAGAATGAAAATAATAGACATTTAGAGATACATTCAAAAACAAAATGAACCAAAAATGGTTGAAGACAATGAATGGTAAAAGATATTCAATAATGAAGAACCATGTTTGTGTGTTTGTGAGACCACCTAAGCAGAAAATGGTGGTTGAATGAAATTTAACACAAATTTCTACATCAAGGTTCAAGAATCAGTTAGACATGATCAAGTTAGTTAAATAATGATTCAAATTTTAGAGAGAGCATCAAGGTGGATGATGGGTAAATTAAAATCATCTTCAATGTTAGAGTCAAGGTGTAGAATTTTAGAGATTGACTCAATTAATCAAAAGTTTGTTTGCAAGAATGCATTGTGTTTAGGAGGAACACAATGCACTTGGACAACGCATTGCATTACGCCTAAAATCTTTAAAAGACATTTTTCAGCCTATTTTGGTGGACTAACATATGAGTGTCGCCGGGGAGCTTTCTAGACATAAAAACATAGAGAAACAATGAAAGAGATTCTTAGGATTCATTATTTTAACAATTGGAAGACCTTTGAGGATATTTAATGGAATATTACGAAACACTTCTAAACACTTTGAAATTGTGTGATTCATATATCGTGAGTTGGAGAGATTGAAAAACACTTGAGGTAAAAAAAATATGAGTTGTTCTTCGAAACTTAAAAGACTATTTTTTTTAACTCATCTTATAATATTTCGTAACAACTTTTAAAGTATAGTGAATCAAAAAGTTTTTCTTTCTCCTATAGTAGATCAGTTTGATCAAATTGAATAAACACATTCTTTCTGTACTCATCTTTTATTTTATTTTTACTTGTGAGAATCTATTTCCACCGTTTAAAAATTCTATTAATTTTATTGTTATTATTTTTTGTCTTACACATTAAAATTTTTAATATGGTCAAATAGTATTGTATTTCAAATTAAACTCATTCTATACCAAACCCAACCTTTGGATTTATAATTTTCCAAATTAACAATGTGCATGCTATACCTATACTGGTATATATGTGCATGCTT